TACTTCTGAGGTTAAGTTGGAAGATATTCTGATTGTCCGAGAGTATACGGATTTATTTCATGAAGAGTTACCGGGTTTACCTCCAAATTATGAAGTATAATTCAAAATTGAAGTATTTCCAAGTATTGTGCCTATTTTGATTGCCCCGTATAGAATGGCTCCAATCGAGCTCAGAGAATTAAAGGCATAATTGCAAGAATTGTTAGATCGGGGTCTTATAAGACCTAGTGTGTCACCTTGGGGCTCATCAGTGTTGTTTGTGGAAAAAAATGTGGATTTATGCAATTATGCATAGATTATCATCAGTTGAATAAGGTGATAGTGAAAAATAAGTACCCTCAAGGATCGACGACATCTTTGGTCAACTAAAAGGCGCATCAGTGTTTACTAAGATCGATCTTCGATCTGGCTATCATCAGTTAAAGATAAAGAGGAAGATATTCCTAAAATGGCTTTTATGACCCGATACGGTTATTATGAGTTTGTGGTGATGTCATTTGGATTAACGAATGATCCTGCAACATTTATAGCTCTGATGAATCGAGTATTTCATCTATACCTAGACCAAATCATGGTTGTATTTATTGATGATATTTTGGTCTATTCAAACACAAAAGAATATCACAATGTCAATCTTCATATTGTTCCTCACACTCTTCGAGAGAAAAATATTTATATGCTAAGCTGTCAAAGTGTGAATTCTGGTTATCAGAAGTTGCTTTCCTTACCCATGAGATTTTAGAAGATGGGGATAAGAGTGGATCCTAAGAAACTACAAGATATTGTCGAATGGAAAACTCCAAAGAAAGTTTCTGAAGTTTGGAGTTTCTTGGGACTTGATGGTTATTATCAAAGGTTTTGTGAAGAACTTCTCGATGATCGCCTCCCCACTTACCAAGTTATTGAAGAAAGTTATATCGTTTATTTGTACTAACAAGTGCCTAGAAAGCTTTGAGACGCTAAAGTATATTTTGACAGAAAAACCAGTGTTAGTGCAACTAGAATAGGGAAAATATTATGTGGTTTATAATAACACATCTCATAATGGTTTGGGATGTGTATTTATGTAAGAAAGAAAATTTGAGGCCTATGTTTCAAAGAAACTTAAGATTCATGAGAGGAATAATCTGACCCATGATCTCGAATTGAAAGCAGTGGTATTTTCTTTAAAGATATGGCGACATTATCTTTATGGTGGGTGATGTTACATCTACACTTATCATAAAATTGTGAAGTATATGTTAACTCAAAAGGAGTTGAATTGAAGACAAAGAAGGTGGATCGAACTTCTTAAGGATTATGACGTGAACATTGACTACCATCCGGGAAAGGCTAACGTGGTAGTTGATGCATTAAGCCAAAAGACATTTTATGCCTAAAGTGCCTTAGATGCGCTACTATCAATAAAGGAAGATGTGCATTAATTGAAGAATCAAAGTTAAAGCCTATTTTATTGGATATAATTATCTTCAAGGAAATGATGAAAAGTGCACGTCAAGGATCTGTAGACACTCATTTTCGTCCGAGAGTTACTTCAAGGGTTTTTATGTTTATGTTTTATAGCATAATATTTATATAATATAATGTATATAAAATATATATAATATATAGTTTTGAAAAATATATGATATACAGTTTTTAGAAAAGAAAAAAATTAAAAAATATATATAATATATATGTATTATTATTATTATATGTTTATTTATTTTTGTTTTATTTTTAGGGTCTAATAAAAGTTCATCGGTCCAAAAAGTACAAAGTTCACGGTTCAATCTCAAACAATAAAGGCTCAGAGTAAGGCGAAATTGGTGGAGAGACCTGCCTGGCCCAACATAATTTTCCAGCAAACTGGATTTGATGTCAAACGAAAGGAAGTAGGAAACAGCTCTGCCAAGCCCGAATAAGGAGCCTGAGGTGCCTCACCCAGTACCTTAGTGTTCCCACATTAAGCAGGATGTTGTATTATCCCGCCCATGGGATCAGAGAGGAAAGCAAGGGCCCTAATCAAATGGTATTAGGTCTTTGGAATCCTAAAATCATCATCGCAACACAACCAATCTAATGGCCAGAAAGCCCTGATATAATTTTTAAAATGCCAAAAGTCACCGGTTGACCAATTTACGGTGCGTGAAGACTATGCACCAGTGAAAAACACCACACGCTCTAAACTGAAGGTCATTCCCAAATTTATCAATAAATTTTAGAAATAAATCGAACCAAACATAAGCCAAAAACTAGATATGGCAAGAGAACCAAATTCAAAGCAATATTGGTAACATATTCAATATACAAACCAAATTTCAGTAAAATGGAAGGCAACTGAGAATAAAAAGCATATCATCCCCGTTTAAGAGGAGATCAAAGCAAGGGTTGAAATAATCCTCAATCAAAACCAATCCTGAAGACTTGGGATGATAACAGCACTGGATTTAAGGGGAAAATATTCCCTTCGAGCCCTATATAAATATGCATACAAGAAAGGAAGGGGCATGAGCAAGCTTTTATTCGAGCACCAAAAATAATAATAAAAAAGATAGACAATAGGAGAATTAGCTTGAGGTCTTTGTTTTCGAGACAATAACCACCAGGGAAATCGAATGGTCATCTGAAAATTGAGAAAATAATCATCGAAAAAGGTAAAGGTCGAATATTTTCGTGTAGATCTACACCGAGGGGGTTATTATTTTGTGATTTGATTGGTAGCATTGGCTTAAGGGTGGAAAGGTCTTTTGAATGATAGCTTTTGGGTGCTTCAACCACCGTGGATGGTGGCCGAAGTAGCAGTGACATGGTGGCTCGGTGGACTCACCATATTTGCATAACACTCGATTCCAATCAAATAAGATGGAAGCCAAACTTAAGGAGATAGAAGACAACTTTGCCAAATTGCAAAAAGAAATGGAGGAAAACTACAAAAACACTCTGGACACCATTGCAAGAAATAAGAATGACCTAGTCGATCAGATTATGACCATGCTAGCAGGACTGAATTTTACAAATGTCCCTAGGGAAAGGAGATTTTGAGAAGTTGTGGCACCACCACGACCGAGCTGATAATTACACGTGGAGGTTTCTAAGGGTACATGGAAAACTCTTCTTCTATAAAACCATTGGCTTCCATAATGAATCCTCTGAGTAACGAGTAAAATTACATTCCAAACTTTGATGATGAAGACAAGCCTAGGAAAATGGAAAAAAAATAAGAAAGTTAGAGGATCAGATGAAGACTGTTAATGGGATGAGGACTCTTATGGAACTAATGCCATGGAATTAAGCTTGGTCCCAGATTTGATCCTACCTCCAAAATTTAAAGTCCTGGACTTTGAAAATTTTGATGAGAATAGTTGCCCCTTTACTCATGTGACCATGTTTTGTCGAAAGACGACGGGGTATGTTGGAAATGACCAAGTCCTGATCCACTGCTTCCAAGAAATCTTATCAGGTTTAGTTATCCGGTGGTACAATCAGCTGAATAGGTCCCATTTTCGGGTTATCAATGGAAATCATAAAAAAAATTGATTTTTTACAACTCATTCAACTTGTTTGCTTGCGTGGTGCTGCTGATGAGGCATAGAGGAACTAGTTGTGGTTGGTTGAAGGTTGTCGTGGTTGTTGGATGTGCATGGGAAAGCTGGAGATCATAGTCGAGTGACTCCTTTCTTGATGGTGTGGAAGGGGACCATTGTGACGAGGTTCACATGCGTGGAGGGGAACCACGATCGAACAGTCATTGGGATTTGCATACACACTGTCTACGGCTAGATTGATGCTTAGGGTTTGCCCTAACTCTAAGATATATGTTGAGTCAAGCATGTTGTTGGACTGATGTAATGAGAAGTTTAATTTGGGTTTTGGATTGATTTTAATTGAACTTGTAATTTGGACCATATTGTGATATTTGGACCTTGCCCATTAGTATATATTGAGAATTTAATTCTTTCCCTTTTTGTTTCTTTCGAATGAAAATGAGAGGGTAAACGAAATTGGGCCTTTTTTTGTATATGCCTATTAAATCCGGCGAGTGTACGAGAATGGGATTTTAAAATATTAGGCAGGTGCGATCAATATTCAATCAAAACGCATACGTTTCAAATGAAAGTTTCGTTCAAAATCCATTAACTTGAATTAAAAGCCCAAACAATTCATTTTTCATCATGCAATATGAATCCACCAAACTGAATTCTTCATCACCTAAAATTAATTTAAAGTGATCAGATAAAATTAAGGTATTATATAATTTAAATATAATTATTATTTTTTCTTTTTTAAATTCAAAAAAATATCATATTTATAATTAAACATTAAATGTCTAGTTAAAAAAATTAATTGAGAATAAAATTTCTAATTGAACATTTTATTTCATCACCTAAAAGGTTGCATCGTATATTTTTCAGGTTAGATCAATATAAATTTCATCATAAACACCGAAAGGCCTTATAGGGTAGGGTTCAAGTCAAATGATCATAATCATTGAGCATATGAGAGCTGGTAATAAACCTAAATGATAAGATTAACAATAATAAAGATATTTTTTATAAGAATATATCAATAACTCTATATATACTTGATCAGACTCTATACCCAATTCAACCCGAACTCATATCTAAATGTTGAGTCAAATAAAATAAAACCTGAACTCATATGAAGATCTAAATGTTGAGTCAAATAAAAAATTGGACTATTCGATATTGACTCAACCTGAAAATGATCGATATGACATTGACTTGGCCTGAAAATTGACAATCTTATATTGACCTAAATTGAAAATTGACCAATTCAATAATGACGTGATCCAATAATCCAATTCGATTTATTATAGATCTGAACTAAATTCAAATTAAATCCAATTCGATCAAAACCAAACCAAAATTGAATGTAATGTAGACTCATAATAACATTACCCGATCCAAACGACCTGATTGTCACATTTAATGGAAGCCATGCCGCAATTAAGGCTACCCTTGTTCCTTAATCAATAACAAGCCCATGCAAAAAATAGCATCCACCATACCAAATTCGCAATTAATCATTCAGCTCAAATCAGATCACGTACAAAGCACCAATACAGAAATTAAAAAAGATCGAGAGCGAAAGATGTTTGATTGCGAATAGCCTAATACATAAATTAGGTTCCCTATTTCCGATGACATGCAGTTGTTTTGATTCATTTGCAAAATGCAGGTAGTTTAAATAATCTCTCAGTTCTGCCTGTTTCCTGTCGATCCACAAGCAAGAGCTTCTCTTGGTATTTGACCAACACGATGGACTCCTAGAGCAAAAACAACCCCCATCCCCATATGCAAATGTGGCTCAATGTGACAGTGGAATGCCCAGACCCCTGGATTATCTGCAACAAACCTCAACGCAGTCCATCCATATGGGAAAATCACAGCGGTGTTCCTTAATGGTGGGTTCTTCAAGTTGAATGTTTTCTCATCACCTTCTTTGAACTTGCCTTCCCCATATCCCAACACCCAGAAATCATGCCCATGCAAATGCCATGGATGTATCTCACTAACATCCTTGGCCAACGCATTAGCGTTTTGAAGAATCACATCAACGGTTGTGTTCAAACTGATGGTGTAAATCCCACTTCCTAGAGTTGAATTTTGGTTCACTGCAGGCTTCATTATGTCATAGCTGCTATCATAGTTGTCTGGTGGGCTTTTCTGGTCAAAAGTATTGTTGAGACCAAATTTAAGGGATCCCAAGTAGGGAGTTGACGGCAACACTAACGAGACATTGTTGACAGACCACTTGACGAACCCATTGACTCGGTTTTGCGTGTTGAGAAGGACGATCCGACGGTTCGAAGTCTCGGGTGGCTTAGGTGACCCCATGAGGGCGTATATGCTTTTAGTGAAGGCCTTGCTGTGATTGTAATCGTTCCATGGAGGTGTTACAGGGGGTTGAGACATAGGGATCCTTGATGCAGAGGTGGGGGAATAGTTCAGAATGGTGAGGGCTCGAGGGGTTTTGGGTTCTCTAGCTCTAACACCTATTGAAATCCAGTAGTTCATTGAAGGGTCTTGGTCTGTTGTTAACAACACAGAGTAGCTTTCACCTGAATAGATATCCAAATCATTGACAGCAAATGGTTGGACATGGTTTCCATCGGCTTCCACCACCACCATCTTGTGACCCTGCAACCAAATTTTGTAAATGTGAATAACTTGTACAGCAAATCATCATACATAGCACTCAAAATTGTATGTGCGATTGCGTTGGTTCACCACAGTCGGCCAGTGATTGATCCTCTTCTCAAAACTTTAAAATTTCTATATATTTAATAATCAATTTTCATTGTTAAAATATTATAATTTCACTTTAATATAAAATCTTGTGTCGCAGGATTCAACTATGTAATTACAGTTTTATTTCAAAAAAAGGCAGACAGATGCAGGATTTGGGATTCCAGAACTAAGAGATATTTTGTAAGGTGCAATTGCATTGGTTCACTACACATTCAACTATGCAAATACAGTGCTATATCAGAAAAGTAAATCAGAGTCTGCAGCTTTGGGATTCCTGAGGTTTTTGACATTTTCCAACGTGCCAAATGCCATAAAGTAGTGTGGTAAACTATTCAAGTACCATTGTCTAAGAGGGAATCAAATCGCTGTAAAAAAATTATTATTATTCTTTAACATTATAAGTTTGAATATCATGAGTAAAATATTTAAGGTCAAATAATTAAAAAATTTAAATATTATTATACCAACTTTTAACTCCTATTAAAATAAAGGGTTAAACTAAAAAAATCCTAAATTATACTTTTATTTTCTTGAAACCCTAAATTTTAGTCAAAATTAGTCATTAAACTATTATATGTAACCAATTTAAGTATTTAAGATTTTTTTTGTCAAAATTAGTCCTTAAATTATGTCTTTTTTTTATTTAAGTATCTAAACTTTTTTTCAAACAAAATACTTAATTTTATATAACATTTCAACATCTTATTAGCTGGAAAAAAAATTCTAATTGAAAAAATAATATACCTAAAGTGGATGCATATAATAATTTAAGGATTTATTTTGATCAAAAAATAGTTTAGGGGCTTAAAGTAAAAAAAGAATATAGTGTGAGAATTTTTTTTACTTTTTTGATATAATCATCGATATTCAATCTATTTATGAATTAATACAGAGGCAATAACGACCCTTCCAGTCTAGTTTGCTCCATTCACAAGCATCACGATTTGAACTCCGGACCTTGCTTAAAGAATCTAGTGTCTTATATTACTAAATCAACCGGTTATAATCATACATCTATATACACAACTGTTTAAATTCAATATTTCCAAGAAAAATAATACATTTTTTACATTAATGAGATTACTTAATAAGTTATCAAATAATTGCAAATAATATTTTCTAATATAATATACAATAAATTTACAGTTCAAATTATTAAATCTACAATATTAGAGACCCTTTTTCCAACCAAACAAAAGAAAAGGCTAATTTCTGTATAAAATAAAAGAGGAAGGGCAATTTGGGGAATATATTAGTTTCCTGAATCAATGCTTGCTGGACCCCACTGGCTAATGGTTTGATGCCACAAGAACATGCCAATGTTCCCCACTCCCAAAACCTTCATAATTTCTAAATACACTAAAATACTTGCTGCCTGCATCTTTTTCTCCATTTTGACTAATCTGCTTTTCCTATTTCATTTTCACACCTACTCTGGAGGTATTGCAGACCAGATTTTTCTATTAAAACAATTGGATTTGCTAATATTGGAAGATTATCAAGTATTTATTTTAGTACGTTATCACTCATATTAAATTTATATCTTAAGTGTTTTAAAATTGTTATATTTAAACTATTCTTTGAAAACTCAACAAATTTTACCAGACACATTTCCTTTTTATACTTTTTAGTTTTCCAACTAAATAAAATGCAACTTTTTAAGATAAAATTGCTATTTTTAACTTTTTACAATATATTTTATACAAATTTTTTCTTCTTAAAACTACATGAAAAATCAATTATGAAGAGAATAATATTCATGTCAGATTATTCAAAATTATAAAGCAAAAATGTTCATTTGCGAATTGCTAAAGTAGGATTCAGCTCTGGGTAAAGGCAGCAGCCCACAACCACAAAGTGTCATTTTAGACATTTGAAACTAAATCTAGAATCCCAATCTATAGCATAAAACTTTTGAATTTTAATATTCTTCTTTGACTTAAAAAAAAAAGAATATCAGCATAGATGTTGCAATTGGCAGTCACATAAAAATTTATGTTAGGATCGAGTCTATAAAATTATAAAAAAATGAATTTATAGAATTTTAAAGAGACAAAAAAAGATTATGATTAGAAAATAAAAAGAAGAATACCTGAATAGCCAAGTTGAGTGAAGCAAGAGCGGTGGTGCTGGCAATCCTGAGCCTGTAGGTTTTGTTTGGTTTAACCATGAGGATCTGTGGTGCACATTGTTCATTCCCTCTGAACTTGCACTGCCAAATTGGTGGGTTACTGAATTTTGCAGCCATTGAACAATTGTATTGCCCTCTTCCATTAATCAGCAGACTCTGAATCCCATAAACATCACACGAAAATTGAAAATCACAAACAATTTTATATATCTATCATTCACAACTTATTTTCTTTTACTAAATTTTAAATTAAAAACTTATTACATTTTTTGTAAAAATTGTATTAATTATTACTATTTTACCTAAAACATTGCTTTTCCTGGACCTCTTTTGTATTCCTTTATCGGTCCCAATTTGGAATGAGATGGCAATATGATAAAGAAATACCAACCACCATGTCTACTTTTACCCTAGCAAATTTTAATTTATAAACATTTTTTTCACTTTCATTGTTAATTTTTAAAATCCTTTTAGTGAACTATCATTTGGTCTCTTTTCTCCCAAAAGTCATAAACCGGAATTAAATGATAGTTAAATATCAAGAATACAAAATTTCAATACTAAAACAATAAAAAAGTATGCTAAATTACCTATTTGCTCACTTACCTATTACTTAGTTTCTGCTTTAGTCATCCAAGTATTATTATTATTATAATTCTTTAAAATCATGTCTAAAGTTGTATTTTGATTATGTAGGTCACCATTATTTAAAAAATTAACAGTAATGTTGATGTGGTATCTTTCAATTACTTTTCAATGTTAATATGATATTATCTTATGATTACATGTTAATATTATTTTAAATTTTGTAATGAAGTGTGACAAAAGCAAAAGCAAAACGTAAGTATGAATTATGAAAAAAATAATAGTTAAATGATCAAAACATAAACTAAGTAATAGGTAGATGACCAAATAAATAATTTACCCTAACAAATAAACGTAAAATTGTAAACAAGTCCTTATTTTTCTTGAAAAAAGTACTGGAAGAAAGGGTTACAGTTGTCTGCACCTTGTTTTGATTAGTTAAAATATCAACTCATCATGTGTCATATCCTCGGCTAATTTTAAAAAAAAATCACTCTATTAATCTTTATTTCCTTTCAGATACTCATGCAACTTTATTTCTCGATTTAACATTCTTTACAGATCTAACATTCTTTAGAGAATAACACGGCTCATGTACCGTACCTTATATTGATGTGGCGCCACGTGGGATCTGACAAAGAAATAAAGATTGATAGGGTGATTTTTTTAGGAAATTAGCACATATCCTCATCATAATTAATCTTTTTACTACTTTTAATGTCTTAATGAGTAACAACAGTGCCCACCACCCATGGAGTTTGTAATCTTATTATAATGCGGATAGAAGTGCAAGATTTGCACTAACTAAACCAACTAATCTAAATTTTAGTAAGTGAGACTATCCATCCATTGAAAATAATAAAAATAAAAAGCATTTTTAGGCTAGACTACATATTTAGTATCTAAACTATTACTTTTGTTTCATTTTGATATTAAAACTTTATTTTTTACAAAAATCATATTTAACATTTAGTTTAAATTTCATGGTAACATGTTAATATGACCGTTAAATTTTTAATGGTGAAATACCAAAATGAAATATAAACTAAACATTAAGTATGTTTTGAAATAAAATAAAACTTAGGTATCAACACAGAACAAAAGTAACAGTTTAAGTACTAGACATGTTATTTAGCCTTTTTAGAACGAAAATGCGGCATTACCTGTGGTTCACCGATCCAGCGAAAGGGAATGGAGGAAAGGCCAACTTCTTGCTCATGAACACTTTGGTGCCACCAGTCACTCAACAAGAGGTTCAACTCACCATCATAATGGAAGGGCTCATTCTCTGCGTCTGCCACGTCAACGATCAGGGACCCATACAACCCCGCAGATCTTTGCATCCCATAGTGCCCATGATAAAAGTATGTTCCAGGCTGCGCCCCAACACATAATTTCATAAAAGAATATTTTTCATCAATAAGATAATATTATACATGTTCAATTCAACTTGTAATTTTTTTTTAAATATATTCAACTTGTAACTTGGAAAAACCTGTGTGGGTGTTTCTAACTTAGATTTGATTCCTAAAACAGTTTTTCGATCTCGTTCAAGTTCAGCTGAGAAACAGAGCAAAAAGAAGAGAAATACCCTATCAACTTTGAACCTGTATCTGAAAGTCTCTCCTGGGTTTATAGCACATTGTGAAATGGAAGCAGTTCCATCCGCCCATGGGGTTCCCAGCTTATGAAAAACATTTAACACATCATATATATATATATATATATAACCAAATATGTGTAAAACTCGGACTCAATGGGAAAAGTAAATGTTATTATCCTTAGAGATAATAAATACAAGTATTGTGTTTACCGTGTGTGGGCGTTGTCAAATTGATTATGAAAATTCTGAATAGATACCTGTCGGATTCCATGCCAGTGAATGACAACTCCCTCGGTGTGAAGCTTGTTAGTAAGTTCAATAACAAGAGTGTCTCCTGCTTTAGCTCTGATGGTTGGTCCTGGAAACTGGCCATTGATACCCATCACAATATGTTCAAAACAATCAGGAGATCTGTACATGTACACCACTTCCCATTTGAAATGCCTGGCCTTTGCACCCAATGAAACATGGACCAAACACAAGGCAATGATGCAACACAAAGCAACATCCATGGAGCCCCAACCCATCGTGTCTGTAAAACCAGGATGGTTAGCCGGAAGATTGGCTGATGGAAGGGATGGGGTTTGGCAATCTATTTATAATCTCTAATGTAATGTTCCAGTCTATAGCTGCTCGCAAGGGCTTTTAAATAAAGATGATAACTTTTTTTATTCCTTTACGCTTTGTAGTAGTATTTTTTTGAAATTGTCATAGGCATGAGAAAGGTTATCTTTGATTTAAATATTAAACACGATGTTAAGCAAACTTAGGAAGTAAATAAATTAGCTGACCCTATTCTCATATGTAATGATATAAGGGGGAGGTATGATAGTAGGCTGCCCCAACGTCAGGTTGAAAGCAGCTTCCGTGAGAGACCTCCGGCAGTCAGAATTATAAATTGTCCACCGTGGGACTCGATCTCAGGACCACAAGGTTAAGAGCCTTACATAATATCTAAATTTTATCCGAATTTTAAATTTATCAGAGCTTACCCTTCTTTTGATGTTTATTATGTAAGAAAATAACATATTTAATGTTCATTAAATGTTCCTTTTTGATTTTTTTCATATCCAATATAATTTTATTTGTAACAAGTTCATCTATTATATCTTTTTATTTATTATTATATTGTGATATATGTATATTCGTATTTAATGTATAATACTAAATATTATTATTTTAATTTTCTTTATGTATACATTTATATTTTATATGATATGTATTTTAAATATATTATATATTTTTTATGTAAATATTAAATAATAATCTTTCTATTTATATATAAATATATATTTAATCTTATTATGGGATATATTATGCATAGCTTTACCTAGTAGTACATTTTTATTACTTTATATTATATTTTTAATGTATGCGATATATATATATATATGATATTTTTTTATATTTTATGCCATAAATATTTTTATAAAACAATCAAATGGTTTTGTATATTATTAATTGAATTGTTAAATTGATGTAATATTTTTTTGAGGAATCTGTAAAATCACCTTCTAAATCGTTAGAGTATGATATCAATGATTGTTCAAGTGAATAGATGTCCTTTTATATATTTGAATGATTTTTAGCATAATTTTATTATTTTAATTATTTATTATATGTATAATCTCATTCATTGAATCATAGCACTTATATTCGTTGCATTCAATTTTAGGTACTCTAGATAATTGGATGATAATTTTCGTTAATTTTTTAGAGTGAGGGATCACTTTTTAAAAATAAATTCAAGTGAACCATGTTATTTTTATGGAGTCAAACTATTTATAAAAAGTTCACTCAATTACAAATTAACTTGCATGATGAATGATCATTTTTAAAATTTACATTTAAATTTGAAAAATTCAACGCTTAGACAATACATAAATGATTATGTATTGTTATCGAGTGTTGTGAGGATGTTCATCGTTTCTTATAAGTAATTAACACCAAATTTAAATTTAATAATATAATAATTAAACGTATATAATAAAATTATCTTTAAAAGATCGTTATGACAACAAATAAAGTTTTTTGCAGTATATCAATTTCTTAATTAATGGTTAATGACTAATTTGACTGTTGAAGGGGTCTTTGGGTAGAGATTTTTCACAACATGAGATATTAGTGCATGAGGATCAATTTTCACATGGGAGCTGAGGGATTTCAACAAAAATATATCTTCCCTCACACCAACAATTCCTGTTTTGAAATGACGTTTCATCTTTGAAACAAGTCAAAGGAGTTGGTGAATGGATCAAATTAAGTTTATATTGTATTAAAATGATATATTATCAGATTTAATTAATACTATATTAACTATTTATGCGTTGTTTTGTTTTAGCTCTGCCTCGCTTTCCGTATACTTTTGCTTTTTTACTACGAATGTTTCTTTCGACTCGGCCAATCCAACAGCATTCATCTCTAAATAAAGTAGCGGAATTGAATAGAGGTGATAGGGGAATAGCCCCTATAATTTTGGAGAATTCATCTCTTAAAATTTTAAAAAGTTTTATTTTCTTAAAAATATTTTATTTCTTAAAATTATATATATATATATATATATATAGCTTGCTTTCCGTGCAAATTTTTTGAGTAGATAATATTTCATGCGACTCGGTTAATCCAAAATCATTACCTTCCAAATCAGTGGTAGAATTTAATGGAGATGAAAGGGACATGGCCCCCGAAACTTTATGTTTCTTGAAAAATTATAACTTTTTATTTTATCCTTTTAAAATAATTAAAAAATATATCTGGGGATAACAATTTAACATGAATCCAACGGATTCTGATCCGACCTTATAGAGTTGGATTTAAAAAAAGGATTTGCGTCAGGTCAGGTTCGGGTGGAAACTCAAAAAACTCCAACCTGACCCGACCCGAAAATTACTATTTTTAATTAAATCCTTATTTTTATATAATTTCGGGTCAAACCGGAGTCGATTGAAGATATATATTTTTCGGGTGTAGGATACATATTTTTTGGGTCAGGTCAGGTTGAATAAAAACCCAATCCTAACCTGACCCGTTACAATCCCTAATTATATCTTAAAATTATTAAATATGTATATATTATATTATTATATATATATTTATAGGATTATGATTCACTCAAACACAATGTAAAACTATGAGTTTTACATCTTCCTATGACAGTTGGATCGAAGAAAATCAAAGGCTGATATTAACTCCTTATAACGTCCTAATCCAATACGACATGAAGATCGACGAACCAAGGTGTCACACGAGACCACTGGAGTGGCTAACCTAATTTTTTTAAAATAATTAAATTATCCATTTAACATCATCCATAATAATAAAAAAAAAAAAAAAATAATAATAATAATAATAATAACAACATAAAATCATACTATTTGATTTACAAAATACGGAAGCCCCCAAAATAAATCTTAATTAAGTTAAATCAATAGTTCAAAATATAGTTACGACTAAAATACAAGAAGGTTCATATACGATACATGCCCTCATAAATATAGTCAAGACGTACTCAAAAAGCAAGCGACGGTATGGAAAGCGGACTATGTGGTGGCTCCTCGAACGCTCCTCCTAAGAAGTTGTGTAAGGAAACAAATTTCGAACGCTGAGCCCACAAGCTCAGTGCCACACTAATAACCAAACTATACTACATGTGTCCTTTACATGCACATGCTAGTAAACATAACTATTAACATACAAATATGCTAAGCTAACGTACATACAGTTGTAGGCATCATCATGTGGTCGGAGAGTTTCTCTACATCTAAGAGACACACACACCACTAGCCGACGGTCCCAACATAAGCATTTTAGAGTTTATACTTGATTTCATGATTAAATGACATTTTGGATATAAATACGGTGTTTTATGCCACTTTATGACCCTAAGTAGCTTCTTAAATCTTTTGACCATGATTAGGAGCCAAACTAAGACCATTAGAATGATTTTTGAGTTTTTCTTGGGCTTAAATAAGACATTTCTGGGTTCGAGTATCAATATTGAATTAACATTATCCAATTAGGATGAATTTTGGGGAGATTGTAGGGAGTATTGATATCGCTAGATAGAGTATCAATATTGCCCCTATAGTATCAATAATCAGGGGTTACAATATCGATATTGGGATAAATATTTAGCAACAAAAGCCATTTTTGGTATTGATACTCATAGGGGTATCGATACTTGACCATATGGTATCGATACTGTACGTATAATATCAATATGACCTACTTTGAATGGTTAGATTTGACCTCTTTAAGGACCGTAAGAGTTAAGGATGATCCGTAATGGTAAAACTTAGACCATGAGGGACAGAAATGACGAAAGATACCTAAAAACACTCGTACGAGTGAATTACACCTGATGTAACCACACTAAGCGTAATACATCAAAGTATCTTCATTTGAGCATGTATTGAATAGTTAAGAATGAAGATCATTGCAGAGGATATACCGACAAGTAATATGATAAATAGGTTAGATTTAGTAATAGAAAAAAATATGTGCTTCGAGAACATCAGTGAGCCATGATCATATAAGTCATCCCTTCAATTTAAGTAGTATTGGGGAGAGGTACGATAAGAGCGATTAGAGTGTTGCTACCCAGTAATGAACCCGAGTCAGGTATCATGCTAGCTAGTGTTTTAGGCATTGAACAACAAACACAGTAATCGTTATAAATCACGAAATGCGTAGAGATTTCTATAGAGATAAAGAATGACTAAAATGTCTTTAAGTTACGAACAAACAAAATAGACTCGTTTAATAAACTAACATTAGTAACAAACTAATAAACCATTACATAACGTTCTAGATGAGAGAACGAGAGATATAACAACTAGTGAGAGGATGACCTCACTTTAGTATGTCCATCCATGTTATGGTGTAGACATACTACCTTAGTTATCCTATTGGGTCATCATCGATGCACGAGGCACTTCAGTGGCTAACTAGGGCGTAAGGTTTGGACACTCACAAGGAGTGGGTTAACGATGTCAGTGTTGTGTGTCCTTTGGGACCTTAGATATGCATGTAACATCCTCAATACCGGGTTAGTGACCAAATTGTAAAACTTTAGAATTTAGTGGCTAAAGTAGATAAATTGAATAATTCAGGAACCTATATGAAAAATTTTATGTAGGACTAAATATCAAAGAATGATGAATGGAAGGGAAAAATGGTCATTTGACCAGTAAATGAATTAAAAATTGGTATTGGTTATGATATATACATGTGGAGAATGATAAAAGAGGAAAAGAAAGATTTCTCGAGAACACTTTCTTCTTCTGCAACCGTGAACCCAAGTGACAAAGGTGACTTTTATTATGAGTTGATTATTAGTTGAAATTAAGTTTGATTTGTGATCATTAGATGATACTTAAGCTTAAGGAAAGCTTAAGTTATCTTAAAACCATAAGATGAAGGAGTTAGGAGAGATTAAAGATAAGGAATTTTTGAATGAAATCTTAGGAAAAAGTTGATAAGTGGATTTTGAAACTAAATTTGACTTGTCAATAGTTGAATTAATATATATGAAGTGATATAATTGGAATTAGAACATGTTAAAAATTTGGTTGGATTATT